TACGCCGAATATCTAAAATTAGAAGATTCAGCTCACAGGCTGCTGGCTTACAATGCTACTTACTCACTGATGTAACACCAAAAGAAACAGAAAGGTAACGGTTATTAGCACTGAGTTATTTCTCCCTCTTTTGCTATTTGGATAGAGTCCTTACATGGCTCCGTGTATGTACACTTCCAGCACAAGTAATCCCGATCAGAACCTCTGGCTACTCCCATACTGAAGACCATACAAATAAAACAGGACTATTCTTTCCTGGAAGCTGCATCAAAATCACGGAGTTTATCGCTTGACTAAGCCAACCCATACTAGCAGCGCCCAGGTGAGGAAAGCACTCCATGTAGACACAACATATTGTGTTCTAAAAGCCAGATTCTTAAGCAGGGTATTCTTCAACATTGCTGTGCACATGTGAACACAGATGCTTTGCATGCTCAGGACACCGTTATCAGAGGTTTTTGTTTAAAAACATCATCATCATCACCATCTCCCTCCTCATTACTAAAAACTAAGTAAAATTAATAAGCGAATGTTATGATGAAAAAAGACAGTCTGCTGCTGCTATAAAAAAACACAACCTTTGTGCTTGAGTTAACACTTTATGCCATGACTACAAGCCAATGCATGAACCAGTAGCTCTGCTACTCTGCTAGTCAATGCTACTCCCAGTGAGCAAGATTATTTCATTAGCAACCAAAAGACAGTGAAAAACCTTATGCTCAAATTGAGACCCATAAAGCACAAGACCAAGTTAAGATCCCAAGTGAATCCTGGTCCCAAGCATCCCAAGCGATCCTTCATAAAATCCAGGAGACATGAAAAGTTTGATGCATTTTATGTACACATAAATCCCTGACACAGAAACCCTATGGACCCTAAATTAAGTCAAAGAAAGGTCTGTTTTTATTGTAATTTTTTTAGTGGAGTGATATGTTTATGTACTTTCTGGAAGGTTACTGATTACATCATTAGTTTAACTTTTAAAGATTTCTTTAGCCTAATAACTGTGTGATTATGTTTAACAGCCTACTCTCATAGTCCTTAGGCTATACTTGCCTCAATGCTAACATTTCAGCCATGTGTAAATAGTTAATCACAAGAAATGCGTGCACATAGAACCAAGAGGCCTCATGAAATTAAAACAAAGAAGAGTTAAGAGCAAGGACCAAGAGATTAATGAGTACACAGAAGATATCTTAACCTTGAGAACAGAAACATCCTAGCAGGAGTGCTCAAACACGGATGATAAGAAAGAATCGCTTGGCTGAACAGCAGAAGGGACAAACATCCAAGGAGAAGAAACTACCCTTAGGAGACCCGGGACCATAAACGGGGAAAGGGAGTAGGGGCTGACTCCCCAAACGACGACCGGCGACCAGCCGAGACCCCCGCGCATGCGTAGTGTAGTTTTGCAGCACCAGCATTATGTAAATGTAGTAGATAGGCAGGGAGGCAGAGATTTCTCAGAAAATGTGTGAATATTTATGTCTTTAAGGTATATAAAGGATGAACTTTTGTTTCAGGGTATGCACGTTAAGTGGAGCAATCCCCCGTGCATCCAGCGCTGCAATAAAGAATGCCTGTCTTCTAAAACTTCAAACGAAGTGTTAGAGGGTTTTCTTGCCAACTTTTTCAGTAACAGGAGACACGATCCAGAATATCTGACACTAGTGGATATGTAACACACGGAAAAATCTCTTCTATTTTGCAAGCTAAGCAGTCTTCATGTGTGCTGTCTACTACTAAGCAGAGTGTTCTGGACTACTTGTGAGCAGGCCCTTTCCGGAGACTTTGGCAGCCATGTTGTGAAACTTAAACAACCTCCATCGAGATGGAGAACCTGACCATGACTTTGAAGCACCAGGTCTTCTGTCAGCAAGAGCTACACATGTGGAGGAGGTAAGAGCAAACCTGGGTCAGTCTCTCTGAGAATTCTGGTCAGAAATCTCGACAATTTGAAGGTTGTCGGTACACACAGATCTACAAGATGTATTTGCACACAATTCCATCCAGATGAGGATATACTGAGGCCAAAATATTCTGAACACTCTTTAAGCTCAGTGACGCAGTTGCAAGCAAGGGTTTTAAAAGCATAATGTCGCATCTTTGCTTTGATACTACCTTACTGCACTTGGCATTCACATTAATTCTCAGCATTCATATCAGGCACACACTTCTGCAGTATGTGTATTAATCATTCAGCAGAGAAACTGAGACAGAAAAGCTCATCCAAAGTCAAAATCATGATCAGAATGAAGGATAGGATCTGTAATTATGTAAAGCGGCTCCCACTGCAAAGCCACAAGGCACCTTGCCGACCCCTCCACAAATGTAGTGTTTCTGACAGGTGGATACGATCAGAGCAATTACTTAACTAACCTGAACACAACCTCAAACTTAGGTCACTTAACATATAGCTAGCCCTTGATTGTCAAACTTTTGGGGTTTTTTTCATTTTAAAAAGGAAGGAAATGAGAAATACCATATGCCATCAATAGAGCAATAAAGTAGGACACCACTTTATGTGTGCTTGGTACTGTCACATTGGGCAAAGTATGGAAGGCTGGAAACTCACCAAGAATAAAAGTCATGGCAATACTGCTAGACCACGCATTTCGCATAGTACTGCTTCCAGAAATGTCCTTAATGACTCTGGACTTCTCTGGACATGCAAAGCAACATGACAAAGAAGTCTCCTTGCTCTTCTTTGAGCTGTATTTTGGCTGAAAACAGACAAAACCTCCAGTTCCTGCTCCAGCAGACAATCCTTTTGAAAACACATGTAACAGTAAACATTACGGAACAAAGAGAATTAAATATGAAACAAGAGCAAGGTAACCATAAGGGCATTTTTGGAATCACATCTGGGTACAACAAGGAATCCAAACTTGAGTAAGCAAGTGGAACTACAACTGCATTTAAACACTTCAGTACCCCACAGTTCTTGGCTGCTTTAGGGATTGGAGATAACTTCCAAAGACAGCCTAAATACATTAATTGGGAGTTCGCAGCTCCACATCAGGAACGTTTCCCTGGCCCTTAATCTCTGTTACAAGACCCATGCAGAAAGAGCTGTTAAGGTCTTCAAGTCAACCCCTACCTCAGAGCCATTTTCCATCTGATACAGGATCAGCACTCACAGTGTTCTGACCCATTTTCTCAACCACACAGGAATGAAAGCAGATCCTGAGGGGTTTTGAAACAATGAATTTTTGGGGTGAGCTTGAGAGACTGATCTCTATTTTTTTACATGACTATACAATGACAACTATGTCAGTGCTGTAAGATTATAAAATTTCTACAGCATATTTTAAGGGCAAAAACCCAAAGTCTGTGGCAGAAGACAGAACTCCAGCATTTCTACCTCAAATGCTTTACTATCTTTAAAGCTTACATAACAAGACAGCAAAATTATAATTTTCTCATTAAAATACTGAATTTTCATAAATAATTGTGAATCTGAATTAAGATACTCCTAGTGGCAGAGATCCTTTAGGCTTTTTTTTTCCTTGAGTTTGAGAAAGGACTCACATGAAGAAAGCAGTAACACTTATATAACATGGAAAAGAATTAAAGCGTAGGGGGCTGGACAACCTCAAATACCGTAAGAATATTATATTCCCTAGGTGTGATATTGCTATTAAGTACCCCACTTTCTTTAAACACAAACCTAAACAGACCAGCTTTTTTATGTGGCTTTAGCTACAGAACGGTGTATAATATTAGCAGGGGCTAGGTACAACCTTAAAGGAAGATGAATATAGGGTATTCAATACCATAAAAAGGTACCAAGTTCCAATCAGGTTTAAAAGATATCAGGTAAAAGGAATGAAAACTCTCTATAGTAATTTTGTAGTTAGTTTAGAGAAGAATCATTCAAAGAATTAAGGATCAAAACTGTGGAATATCTTCTATTCTTTGTTTTCAATTTAATAGAAAAATATAGTATTTTGTCCCCAAATGGAAGAGTAAATTTGGAAATGGATGTTCTTTTCAGTGTATTAAAGCAAAGGCTAGTACTAAGCTCCCGAGAAAATATACTTGCAAATTTACTTATGGGTTAGTTACTGCCAACACATGGCTTGCTGAGCTTATAATATCTGTGGGATTTTGTTCCTTTCAATCCTCCTCCTCTCTCTCTGAGCTCTGCAATTCTTCTCATCACCCACGCCTGCAAACTGTCTAGTATTTGAGTCTTCTCCTCCTCCTCTCACAGTTACTCTTTTCAGACATGTATTTGTAAAATATAAAGATTTGAATAAGTTTTCACTTTTAAAATAGATAAAGATATTTCTAAATGTATTTCCAAAACTATCTTTAATGAGAAGATGCATGTAGCTTATTTGTCCCCAAAGAGATACTACAAACAGAGTAAGTGTTTCAGTAAGTTGAATGATTAATTTTTTACTTTTTCTATTCTTTAAATATTTCTAAAAAGGTATCATTTCAGTTTTACTGTGTTAAATCTCATTCTACAGAATGTTACCACATATTTTACTAATTAATTCCTTCTCTTCAAAGTTTAGAATCTAAAGCTGTGATTTGCAAGCCTAATCTGATGAATGTTTTCACTGCACTTGGCAAGAATTTCAAGTATTTCACTGTTTTGCTACTTTATGCTAGAAAAAGGAATAGAAACACAGCAAACAGTTGCATAGATTCTAAGACGAGAAGGAAACATGCAGTTGTACTATTTCAGTCAGACTTTGACATTTAAAATATACATGTATTTCCCTCCAAACTCACATGTTTTTGACTGCAAGTTTAAAATGCATCAAATGAAAATTAGAAATGTTCTCCAAAATACTTACTTTTGACTAAGAATGCTTAAGAAATTCAAATAAAGGGAAACAATCAGCAGCAGTTATCTGATACAACATAATTTATGATAATGTATTTGTGTCAAAATGTCAGAACCATCCTCATCAGGTTTCCTCACTAAACAAACAACTCTCTTTAGGAGGTTTATTCTTGTAAAATACACATAGTACTGTTCTTACCATACATGCTGTACTCCAGATATCAGCAGGTGTACTGTAACCTGCTCCTATTAAAACCTCTATGGATCTATATTGTCTTGTCTGGATGTCTTCTGTGAAGTGTTTATGCTAAAACAGAAAGAACCACATTAATGGCAAAAATGAACAATAAAGAGCCCTGTTCTAAACAGTGAAGACTAAATAGCTGAAACAATGTAGTTATACTTACCACCCAGCAGGCATTCCCCAGGTCAGCAATTTTAACTCTAATTTTATCTGCATTTCTTGGGTCCAGTGGATTCACGAGTAAGTCAGCAGCACGAGTTTTTGCTAACACAAGCAAAATGCAGACTAGTTAGTATTTTGAACATACTATTCATTATCTCTCAGCAGTTCTTCCTTGACACTTTATCCAGTTTTGTAATACATTGGAGACATCAAAATAATTTGCTGAATGTTACAAGAAATTAAGGCAACATAAATAGGATCTTTAACTTTACATTTCAAGCGCAAATTTTTTGCATTCTTTAACTGCCACATGACTACTATTAGAATATCCAGAGGAGCTTCTAAGCAAAAACAGCACATATGTTTCCAAGCATAGATTCAGATAGAAAACGTTAAAATTCAAACTCCAAGAATTCCACATGAAAGATACGTTCTTGGAACAGTTTGGTTGAGAAAATTTTGCACTTCCATTCTTGGTTAAGGTAAATAAAATTTGGCTGGAATTTTTTCTTTTTTTAAAAAAAATCTCTCCCAAGGGGAGCAAGACTCATGGAAACCTAGCTAATTTGAGAACCCTGGGGACTGTCACCTATTTCACAGATAATTCAGCGTTGAATCAAAGTTCTCTGAAGGTCCTATTTGCACTGAGTATGACCCAGACTAAAAAGGTAGAATTTTAATCAATTCTGCAATCTTTAGAGGGTCTCGGGACACTGACGACCTTGACAGCAGACTGGGAGGACTGCTGCTTTTCTTTGTTCTGATATACCACCTGCTATCTCCTAAATTGCATTGGAAAGAAAGCAGATTGACTTCAATGTGGAAGGCAGAAGCAGGTATCACAAATCACAGCAGAGGATCATATCAGGATATCATATCAGCAGAGGATTCATCTCAGTTCCCTTGTCCCAAAGCTACTACTGTAGGTAAGATAAGAAAGATGTACTAGATGCGAAAGGCACTTGGGACTCCAGTGGGGATATAATGATTTGTTAACTGTTTTAAGACTTGGAAGAGAAAAATACATCAGACATGGGACAAGGAGAAAAAATACAGGATATTGAATGGTGAGTTAGGAATGACAAAAATCAGATGACGATCTTCAACTGCTGGGACAGCAAGCCTGAAAAATGCCCTGGGACGTCAGGGCACTGAAATACTGGCCAACCAGAAAAGAAAGTGGCAGGATCCACCAAGGGAGAGAAGGAAAGAAGAGACATGACTAAATGGCAGAAGATGAAAGGGGCAGTGACCTCAACAAAACAGGACTCTCAAAAAGCCGGAATGGAGTCCAAGACTCAAGTTTTTAAAAAGCACCAATACAGGGCATAAAAGTAAAACACACTGCAAGAATCAGGTTGCGATCCAGAACTTAAAAGACAGGAACTAGTAAGCTTTAATATTAAAGTCTTCCCTTATGAGTATGCTGTGTAGTAGTGTCATTATTCACTTTTTTTTAAACACAATCACATGCATTATTCAAGAAATAACAAGACCTTTCTCAATTCAGTAGCCCTGGCAAAAAAAAAAAAAAAAAAAAAAAAAAAGAAAAAAAGACAGTGCTAGATAAATCCTTCCCACACGTCTTGCTGAAGGTGAAGGACTGCAGTAAACAAAGCAGAATGAAGCAGGGGAAAAAAGCCTCATCAGCAAGACATCTGAATATGACATTAGAAAACAGCTTGCTTCAACCTTCTTCTAACCAAGGGACCCGACAAGGTAATAGGCAAGTGCCTACACTTCTCTGTTTTTCTCAGGAACTCACGAAGTTTATGTCCTGTATTTTCCGAGAGCTGAATATGAGACCTTGGATACTGAATTTGAAAAACGTGGATCATTCACAACTGAAAGTGAGGTCAAAAGGAACATACTTTTAACAAGTACTCTCAAAAAAACATCCAAAGGAGCTCAACCTGAGCACCAAATTAGTGAGCATTTCTGATTTTCACTTTTGTGTGTCCTAGTTCTGTAAAACTGAGAAATATCACCTCCTCTTCTCACAGCCTCAGCATGGTAGTATACTCAGTAAACATTCAAACAATGGAATGAGGAGAGTAATGAGGAAATTAAAGATCTATATTAAGGGCATTTGGTCATGCAGTGAGAATTTGAAAAAGGTAAAAACTTAGTAGCTGCTCATCCACTGAACACAAATTGGTCTGTGCACTGAATGAGGCAAGCATCCTGAAAAAGAGATGAGACCATGTTACTTAATAATGTATAACAATGCCTAGACAGAGAGGAACAAATAAAATTTAATTCTGTATAAGCAAAGGGCACTGAAGTTATCATGAAGAAGTAGCACCATTTAAAAATATTGCCTGCAACTCTTGTATCTTTCTTCTTTCTAAATACCTTGATCTGTTTTATTACTCTTTAACCCAACATTATTACTGATTCCATTACTATTAATAACGTTCAGCTTTTCCTCTTACTGGGGAAGAAGTCCCCAAGCTATGGCTGAATTTAATATCTTTCTTCTTTCTTTGCACAAAAAGTCTGTAAGTTGCTCCTGATGAGATAGCATCAAGGAGGAATAAAATAGTGGTTTTTTGTAAGCTATGGAGATAAGCTTCTCTCATGATGACAAAACCAGCTTTACTCTCTGGAAGCATGAGGGTTTTACACATCACACCAGACAAATAGCAGTAGAGGCTTTCTGCTTGTATGCTGCCAGGAGCACAAAGCCAGAGGCTATCAGGCATCTAGGAACCTCCTGTACATTGTTTAAGGGAGTACAGAGTAGAACGAGATGGACTGGAAGACTTATTAGCCTGGATCTTGACATTTTCCAGAAATGCAGCTCTACTCAGTTGTATTTTATTTCACACTTCTTGCCTACCTGCAGATTACGTTACCTGTCAGACTGTGTAATGAGCTGTGTGAACTGCTCTTCTGAAGTCTCAAACCAACAAATACACTCAATTGTATTTTTCAATACATCTCTATTTAAATTTAGTAACTTCATCTGGGACAATGCTGATGCAGGCTTGGTGACCTCCTCCTAAGCTATCTTATTTTCTTCTATGCGCTTACAGATTTAGTGTCTCAGTATTTTCTCTATTAAAGCTGAAATCCATAGATTTATCGTTTAGCCACTGGCACTATAAATAAAACCTATGCGTAATACCCTGGGAGCTATTTAATTTAATGGCAAAAATCCAGCTCTTTGCAATGACACCAAGATTTCACCTTCCAGGTCTTCAATAAACAGGATTTACAGGCAAAAGTTTTGGATCTGAGCAGTTCTGGTGGCCAGAATTTACATGTCCAGAACTATGCTGAATACAGAAATGCCATAATGAGTTGAGGGTTGGCAACATGCCTTACAGAGACAAAGAATTCATCTTGTTGAGTTTTAATAAAAGGTTAAGAGGGGAACTGTTTGAAAGAGAAAAGAACCATTAATGAATGAAAATAAAGCATATTACAGAATTTTTTAATACGACTGAGAAAAGATATAACATGAAGTAACAGGTAGAAGCTGCAGCCAGACAAATCCAAACTTGCTACAATTCTTCTGAAACAGTTCTGAGAATTGAGCAGTGGAAGACACTTCAACCACACTAGACTTTTTATCGTTTGTTGAAATCAAGAGCAGGTAAAATATGTTTTAAGCTAAACATAAAGGTTACTGGGCTTAACAGATGGTATATTACTGGCTTGTCATACAAGGAAGTCAGGTTACGTGATCTCATGATCACCTTCCGCCCTTTAACTATGGGAATAATGCTTACTTGCAACTATAAACTTCCTTTTCTCTTTCCTGTGTAGACTGACCTGTCCATGCAAATATTTAATCTACAATAACTTATCTAACACCCTTAAAAACAAGTTCTACAGCAGGAAAAAAAAAAAAAAAACCAAAAACCTCAGTTCTGCTCTCCTCTTAAAATTTAACATGGTAGATTTGTTTGAATTCAGCAAGAATGCTTTTGTATTGTGTCCCAAGGTACATCTATCAAACACCAGGGTTTGAATGCAAGAAAAATCATCCAATTCATTTAAAGTAAGCTTAGCTAAGCTATTGTCTTTAATGAGACTATTACAATTTTTTCTTAACCTAAGCACTGCCTTTCTATTTCACCTATTTGCCTCCTTTTTTAATGTAATACCCATGCTACTAGACGGAAGTCTCCCATCAACTCAAATCAAAAGTGCTTTTCTCCCCCCTCCATTTCTAAAAGCCATTCAAAATTAATATATTTGCTTTTCCTTGAAACCTGGTCCTAGGAGTTCAAAATTCACCAGAATGCTTTGGGACCAAAGTAACGTGAAAGCCTCCCCTTCATTTCTAGATACCTGCTCTGCTGTTTTGCAAGAACTCTAAGATGAAATACTGGATTTAAAATAATCATAATTGAGATTTTGCATTCACGCAATGTACAATTCAATGAGCAAAATGTTCAGTGTAGATGAAACCAAGAAGGTGAATCAGCCAGCAATGAAAAAAGGGTTCTCAGTAGTGGGCTGCAGCTGTAGCCCAGCCCTTGCTATGGTTAATCTGACCCCATATCCCACATCCCTCCCCAAGCCTGAAGAGTGCCTAGGAAGAAGGGCATTTGGGAGCAGCCTGAACTGACTGCAGAGGCTGGCACACGGGCACCATTGTTTCAGTGGGCACTTTTCAGACTCAAGCACCAAGCAGGCCAGGACATGAGGAAGTTTGGCACCAACCCAGAAACTAAAAACTTTTAAGACTTCACCTGTAGGTAAAGCCAGCATCACTGAAAAGTGCTAGACCTAGTGTTCAATCAAAGTCAGGGAAATGGTGTGATCAGAGTTCTTGTCTGTTATTGAAAGGTCCTTTTCTGTTACTGAAAGAAACGTGTGACAGCCTACGCATAAGGCTTGGTACCGAATTTTCACCAAAATACCCAAAACAAATAAAAAGTAAAATCTGCATACACGTGTCACTGAACATAGATAAATCATATACATAAGGTTTAACCGCACTGCTCATTCTACATAAGACATCATCTATAGCTCCAAGGGACTTCAAGCACAGTATATGCCACTTAAGAGGAATACTTACTTTTTGGCAAATCCCCAGTGCTTGAAGCTGAAACTGTTCTGCTCCTGTCGTGAGATGGGCTGCTCTCCTCTCTTTCAGTGACAGTTGATCCTTCAGAAACAGCAGAACCACAAGCTACAGATTCTAAACCCCCAGAGAACACTGAAGCTGAAAATTCAGAGAACTGTGACTCGGGAATTTTATGACGTCCATTTGGCAATTCACCATTAAACTGTTCATAGGAGCTGCTATAAGAGTAATCACTTTTTGCATTTGGCTCATCAAGATTATATTCCTCTGGATTTGGACATTCTTCCTCTTCCTCATCTTCATCTTCAATCTGTTGTTCCAATATGAATGGGCCATTCACAATATGGCCATTTGTTTTGGGGGATTCTATCCACTTAGGGTCTGTAGGGTCAGTGTTGACAAGTTCCTGTTCAACGTCATCATCTTTTTCAGTGTTTTCTTTCTCTGTGTCTTCTTTTTCATCCTGATCTTCTGCTTCACCTGGAAAATTTCCGTGAGCAACACATTAGATCATACATCAACATACCATTTGAAATTAGGCATTAAAATCTTTTACCCACTTGTGATTTTTTAACTACTTGTAAAAGTAACTACTTGACTTCTGACATAACATGCAAGAAACAGTGAATATCACTGAAATATGCAAAGACCTTAAAAACCAAAATTAAAGGCAAAAGAAAAAAACCTAGTAAGCCTGTTGGAAAAAATAAACAATGGGGAGTGGTTCAGGAGGGAACAATTCAAAATAGAAGAATGTTATGAAGGGAAGATATACAAGGTCTTGAAAGGAAGCTTTACAAATCTGTTACTCAGTCTGTGTCTAACAGGGAGTCATCACAGAAGCAGGGAAATTCACAGTAAGAGCAGAACGAAACTAAATGAAACGAAACCAAAAGACAGTCTCAGTAGTTACATTTTTATCAGAAGTGGAGAGAGTTGACAAGAAAACCAGGGAAGCCAGAACAGAGTTGGACCATAACAATTATGCTCCAAACCACCAGGACTAAACAAGATTTTTAACAAGACATCTTAAGAATTTTAGTGAAGAAGCTGCAATTATTACCTGAATAGATCATTACAACAAACATTTGTTAACAAGAAAAGGGGAAAGTAAGGATGACTGCAACTACCTTAATATTACAGAATACAAATGCATCTTATTCTTCCTCTATCTCACCAAGATACTTGGTTATGCCACTTAATGTGGTATGATGACTGTTCTGTTGAATTTTCTATGTGCTCTTTTGTGGGATTTGATAGCTAGATTGCTATTGACGTTTTTATTCACTTCTATAGTAGGTGTGACTTCACTTTTCCTTTTTAGAATTTGTAGTTATGATTTTTACCTACAGGAGAAAATGAAACTTAATGATCTAGGAAAGTCTGGAGACTTTCTTCACTTCATCAGACGCAATGCTGAAATTACTTTCCCCGCTGAAACAGTAAATTCAGGGCCAATAAAAGCAGATAATACTAACCATCATCATTTCCAGGTTCTTCATCTACTACCTCTTCTATATCAGCTGTTTTTAGTTTCACCTCTGGGTGGTACTCATCTTCTTGTTCATTTGATGGTACAGCTGAGGTTACATTTTCTTCTATTTTTTTCCTTTCAGCTTCTCGCTCTAGTTCTTCTATTTCCTGCAGGCGTTTTTCTAACAGCTCAGCTTGTCTCTTCTGTTTTTTCTTCAGTTTTTTCTTTTTGTTTTTGGATATTTTTCCAACCTAAATATGAATACAAACAAACAAAAAAACCTAAACAATTATTCTCAAGGCATCTCACACCAAATTCACTTGCAGTATGATTACTTCTTATTTGAAAATACCGGATGGCAATTAATATAGTAAATATGTTGCTTTTTCCATTTTACTTCAAATCAGAAGCAATATAGGGTTATACAAAGCAAAAAAAGCTATCGAAATCTTACACAGTTATTTTACATGGTTGTATATTAGATACAAGAGCACAATTCATCCAAAGATGCCACAGTAAAATTCCTATGATCCTATAATCTCAACTAGCATAATACTCTAAAACTTTAATCTAGGTCAACAGATGACACTGCATGTGGAAGATATTCTGCTATCATATCTAGTTATTTACATATAAATTTTATACATGATTTCTGTCTCTGTACAATGCAGGTAATGACCAGAAAAAATATGCTGAGAAAAATGATTCAAGAAAGCCAGAGATTGAAAATTGTAAAGAATTGTAAATAAATTCTGTGGTGTTCAGCTATTTCCCTGTGAAAGGAAAGCATTTTTATTATTCACTTCTGGCCCAAAACATATGAATCACAAACAACAGATGGCCATTATGAAAAGTTTCACATTTTATATAACACAAGGATTGAAAAACTCAGGTACAATAACAAAGAAAAGAAAAATGAACACATCTGAGCTAGGTCTGAAACAGTTTCTTTTATTTTAACTGAATTCTAACTTCTATTTTTACTATCTGATAAATTAGATGTATTCCATTTTCATTCATTGTTTAGGTATCACAGTAAGAAATCCTCATATAATTAAAAAATAAAGTACAAGGAACAAAGGGAAATACTATTTTCTCAAAAGTTTATCTGTAAATCCTGTTATCTTCAAAAGAAGCTACGGGACAATCAAAACTGGACAGCTAATTTGATAATCCTGTTAATTTTCATCCATGTTGTATGCCCAGTGAAATTATATACATTCTGTACACACAGACATAGAAAGCAGGTTTGACCTTAGGTATTTCTAAATAGCTGTATTAATGAGTGGTTATCCGCTATATGTATATGGGAAAAGGATCTTTCAAACCTCATAAAAAACCTCTACTTTAAGGCCTTGAAGTCCTTAAGCTATCTGCAATGCATGATATTTAGTGCATGCACTCATTTTTGTCAGGATTTGAACGGAATGGATTACTCCTCGAGAGATGAAAATGGCAATGCTTAACTTTCTTTGACATAGCTATAGAATTGTAAGTCTATGAGAGCTTCCACCAGAGAAATACTGTGCTTAAAAGTGGTAAGGCCAAAGACATTAAAAGCAAGTGTTCATTGAAAGATAAAAGCTTTATTCAAAGGAAGCTTTTAAAAAGGGTAGAGACTACCAACAGTCTAATAGCTACTAATACCTACAGAAACACAGTAAATAAGATAGTTAATTTGAATTATATAACAATACTTACAGGCTTTTGTTGTGGAGCTGTACTCACTAAAAAGAAAAAAAAAATTTAAAGGTATATTTTTACAAAAACAACTCTATAAAAGCAGAAAGTAGTAGAAATTATGTAGAAATATTCCTAAGTAAATAGAAGCAGTGATTTATTTTTTTAGTCAAATTTTTTACTCTTTACAAGTACCTGCTGCCTGAAATCATTTGATGTCTCCATTAGAGCATCTGGAATTGGAAGGAGCTAGCATCAATTTCTGTTCACTCTGTTGTGGTTGGTGAAGAGTTAATGAAAGTCAGAAAGGAAAGTCTGAATCAGTAAAGAGCGGACAGAAAACATTAAATGACTGCAGAGTTGTCACAGATGAAATGTATGTAGTCAGCTGACTGAGCAGGTATAGATAGATTTTAAATAGTTCAGGGAATATCAACAAAGATGACTTCTGCTGAGTGCAACACAGTAAAGTCAAATGTTCATGATTCCTTTGCTCTGAAACAAGGTAGGCTGATTGCTAGGACTGGAGGCATGAAGAAGTGTCCATGGCAAAAAGCACACCACCACAGAAAAAGCACCTCCAGCATGGACCTCTTCCTGAGCATGTCTCAGAACGATACCATCAATGACTAGGTCTGATGAGATTACAGTACTAACGGTGAAAATGCACAGAACAAAAATAACAAGCCACATAATCCCTCCCCAAATAATAAAAAAAAAAAAAATATGGGAGACAGAGGCAAAGTGGAAGTGAGAAAGGGGAACTGAACGGGGGAGGAGAACCTCTCGCGAACTTCTTCAGACACATATGGCAATGAACAAATGCAAAATAAAAAAAAAAAAGAGAGACAGTAGAGACTTCAGAGTCCTCTATACATTCAGCTGCTGCTGCTGAATTCAGAGAAAACACTGCTTGTATGGCCCTGAGAGGGCAAGGTTTTCGAAAAGGTTGACTTAAGGTTCTTAAACTTGAGTACTATCACTGATTTAAAAAGGGAAATTATGCAGAACCTATTCTTGAAATGCTGTAAAGAAAACACATCTTCAGCACCTGTGTGGAAAGCCACAGATTTAATTACAATTTGCTAAGAACAAAGTGTGATAAAAACTCCATCAATATATTCCTTAAAATAATATTTATTTTCATGTCAGGAAGCAATATAAAGGCTGCATGGACAAAATCAAGGTACTTTCACACAAACAGCATACAGCCTTTAGCTATGTGATTACACATTATGTAAAATTCAGTACAATATATTAATGATTTATAAGATTTTGCATCTTAACATATGTAATACCACTAACTATTTATGGATTTTGATCACAGTATTTGTCCCTGATATAGCAGGTGTTTTACTATACCTCAGAGATTTTAACCTGTAATACATTTTCTGACAAGATTACAATATCTTTACTGCTTGCTGTCAACTTCTTTACCATGGTTCCTCCTAGTTAAAACATAATGTACAGCTCCTACCTAAACTCTTCGCAAGTTTAACATATAAAATTTCACACACAGTGGGGTAGGGAGAAGGGCTTACCACAAATTCAGTTAGGTACAATAAATTCCGTTTTCAAGGGTGAAAAACTATGGACTCTAAGACTTTTCACTGCATTCAGAGAATATGTTATAACTGATGAAAAGGCAGATAACTTCACAAGGACGCTGGTGAACTAATGGAATGTGACACATAATTTAGGTAAGATTATTAATTATTGACAATATTAGTGATGCAATGCTTCAGTGTGGCTAAAACCCAAGCAGTAAAACTTGTGGGGTGGGAGCAGAGTAAGTTTATACCAATAAATTTTTCTCTGTCTCTGGGGACCCAGAGAACTTGAACATGCAAAACTGAGAAGAAAGCATTTCCCTGATAGTTTCAAAAGCGTGAATAAGAATTAACTAGATGTGCATTTTTCACATGCAATTATTTAAAATGTTAATTTGCATTAAATAAAATATCAGTTAGCATTAATATACTGATGGAAATTTACTACATATCATTTAAATGTACTGTCATACCTGCTGAGCCAGAGGGAGGAGGAGCACCAGCTTTCTGCCATTCGGTAGCTTCAGCAGCCATTCTACGAACATAGGCATCATCCACGCACATCAAAATGTTTTCTGGCTTTATATCCGTATGAATGATCTTGCACTTGCTGTGTAGATAATCCAGACCTTGAAGTACCTAATTACAAAAAGATTTAAAAAAAATTAATTTTAATTACCCAGACCAAGCTAAATGTATTTATTAGTAGTACAGAGATGTTCAACCGATTGCCTGCAGTCCATACGTGGCCTGACAGGATAATTTATCTAGCTCATAAACCCAGTTATTGAGACTTTCACGACACTGGGGCTGGATGAATTGTCTTGGTGACAGCAAACTGCTCTCAGACTTCCATTTCCCAAGTGCTCCTTAGTTGATCTGCACATGTGTAAAAAACCCTGATACGTCTTCCTTCGAAAAAGGAATTTGTCTGTGCAGTCAGAAAGGCTGATCCTCACTCGCTCATTGTTTAAAAGATAGTTATTCCAAAAAAACCACTGCAAGTACTACATACTATAACTGAAACCTGGTTTGTGAATAACCATCTTACAATTGATTATAACAAAAAGCAAAAAGGGAAATGTGATGCTGGGATGAAATGTTAACTATAGTTTTCATTAGAATTCCAACAGTAATTCAGCTTTTAATGAGACCAAGACGTCACATGAGGATTTGTCTACTTGTATTTGTCACATGTTATTTTTCTACTAGTCTTTCATACTCTCCACAGGCTAAATTCTGCTAGCTCATATCTAACCTGCATATCCAAAGTCTTAAAAATGCATTCTTAGGATGAAAATTAAAACATTATTTTACATAATGAAGAAATTTCTCAAATTTTGACTGGAGCAGGAATACAACAGTTTGTGTGATTTTACAAATATTTTGGGGAAGACCAAAGATCAAGATAAAATGTGGAAGTCAATTATTACAATTATTCAATACAGAATAATGTAACAGCATAAACCAAGTTACTGCTATAACGTACATAAATGTTGTAGAAAAATATCAGCAAGAAAGAAAAAAACCCAGAAACCTAGCTGACCCCGCTTCAAAGACTTCTTTCGATTTTTAGAGAATGTTTTGTAGCAGGTAACAGACCTCCAGCCTCATGAGCTCCGGCTACAAGAACATCCTGCCATTCTAGTTTTTATAAATAAATTAGCAAGCTCCTTGCTCTCAGGATCCCTTAAGACATAACTAGCTGGGGTGAACTTTAAAAGCAAAACACGTTGGTTCAAAATACCAGATAACAGAATACAAAGACATTAGTCTACCACCCAGTCCTGAGCTAGTACCAGAACTGGTACATCCATCCAGCACACAAGGCAGATCAAGAGAAGAGCAGCAGCAGCATGCGTATGATATATACTCTCAGGCTAATGTATCCTAGAAACACCTCAAGTGTATGGCTCTGCTTTCTCCAGTTCTGGAGCTAGTCTAGAAGAGCAACCATTCTGAAAAGCTTTCTTTATATGCCTATATAAAAACTGTATATTCACTTGAGCATGACTCAGCCTCAGTGCCAATGGTACACCTAAAAACTACTGCGTCCTTGATAATCTGGATTTTTTTCCTGCAGAACCAAAATATGCTTGACTACTTGCCAAAGCAACTGAAAGAACATACAGTACGCCTCAAAGTAAGAAATGTTGAGGAAAGATTTGGTTTATACTGGGCAGGTAGTTAGTGGTGAAGTGGCTTCAAATTTTAAAAGAGGCATTAACAGCAACAGCAACATAAAGATGGATTATAATATTCTCTACCCTTTCCCATCTTAAAATTTACCACAGAAGGTCTGTAATTCTGAGGCTAAGGAAAAAAAAAAAAAAAAAAAAAGATTCCAGAGTACACTGAAAGCCATAAACTTCAGAGGAAAAAAAATATCTGTTCCACTGAGATATGTAGAACTGGAATTTATGTGAAACTAGATTTGGTATCTCCCACTCTAAAAAGATAGCCTTTCCTCCTTTTAAGTTACAGTGCTAGGGTGACAGTTTTGTCTTTAATTTGGCTGAAAAGTTTTCTTTTGGAAAAAAAAACAGAACATTTTTTAGAATCCAAGTCAGTTCCATGACTTACCATAAGGACAATTCTGCTAAAATTTTATAATTAGAATGTTCTTAGCTGTCTTGAAATGTGGATCAGACTGCTTCATCCAAAAAACTGAAGTACATTATACAACTAAACCAGTATGGAAATGTACACTACATGCACACGCTTTGCACTGTGCCCTAAGATGATGGAGAACGGGGAAAACTCTCCTAGGTTTAATTTATTTGTCCACTGAAAAAGGAAAAAAAATGGGTGAGGTATTGTGACTCTGAAGAACTATGACAGATCCTGTTACTACAACGAAAAAAAAGTACATCAGAAGGCTGTATTTTTTCCCTTGTAGAGGTCACATGGTTAGTTTCAAATAGAGAAACTCATAATTTGCAGTTTCTAATTAATATTCACTTCTTTTTCATTCAAAGAGCCACATCAACCCCATACAACACTACAAGCTTGGGGAAGAGGGTCTGGAGAGCTGCCCAGCGGAAAAGGACCTGGGGGTGCTGGTTGACAGCCGGCTGAACATGAGCCAGCAGTGTGCCCAGGTGGCCAAGAAGGCCAACAGCGTCCTGGCCTGTATCAGAAATAGTGTGGCCAGCAGGAGTAGGGAAGTGATCGTGCCCCTGTACTCGGCACTGGTGAGGCCACACCCCAAATACCGTGTTCAGTTTTGGGTCCCCCATGACAAGAAGGACATTGAATTGCTGGAGCGTGTCCAGAGAAGGGCAACGAAGCTGGTGAGGGGTCTGGAGCACAAGTCTTATGAGGAGCAGCTGAGGGAACTGGGGTTGTTCAATCTGGAGAAGAGGAGGCTGAGGGGAGACCTTATCGCTCTCTACAACTACCTGAAAGGGGGTTGTGGCGACGAGGGTGTTGGTCTCTTCTCCCAACTAACTAATGATAGGATGAGAGGAAACGGCCACAAGTTGCTCCAAGGGAGGTTTAGATTGGATATTAGGAAAAATTTCTTCACCGAGAGGGTGGTCAAGCATTGGAACAGGCTGCCCAGGGAGGTGGTGGAGTCACCATCCCTGCAAGACTTTAAAAGATGTGTAGATGTGGTGCTTAGGGGACATGGTTTAATCTTGGCAGTGTTAGGTTTACGGTTGGACGATGATCTTAAAGGTCTTTTCCAACCTAAATGATTCTGTGATCATATTGACCGATTAAACAGATTATTTACTGCATTGTATATCAAAGCACAAGTCGTAATCTTCACTGACCAAGTACATGATGCTTGTTTCACTATCAGTTTCAGAACATGATCCTCTCAAAAGAGACTGATGCTATACATTTTACAACCCAAAGTAAGGATTCCAGAATTAACTAAATGGACACTTCTAATAATCTCCCCTGCAAAAAAGGAACTGCAGCAACTAGCCTGCTTCTCAATTCTGCAGAGTCTTCTCTTGCACGACAGTTCATGTAACTCTACCCCAGGAGAAAAAAAACAGCATGAAACTGAAATGAAATTTCTTATGAAGAAACTCAACTCTCAGTTGCATTTTAAAATAAACCTAATTTTGTCCCAATACTCAAAAGTACTCAAAAATTAAAAAAATATTTTCCAAATCATAGCAAAAAAAATATTTTTTTTTCAATTGTGGTATGGAATTATACTACTTTTTGAAACAAAATGGTTTTCTGTACAGTAACACCAGTGCAATAACTGAATTGTTTCATATTCAAGTTTTTGTAACGTGTAGCACAAGTTTTGTCTGAGTAGAAGAAAGAATAAGGATCTGTATTATCTTTAATGAGATGAACAACCTGGAAGTCTTACCAGTCAAAGCCACTCTCACTAGTCCAAGGAGTTCATTCTAACCTCACAAAAATCACACCTTTTTAATCTTTCAGAACTAATCCATTCCTCTTTTTTCAGGTATCGAGTGTTTGAATTACTTGGAATTTTTACCTTTTCTTACATTCAGAGAGTAATTTAGGTTGCAAGATTGTGTGATTCAAACTGTCCCCATCTAAGCCATACCAGCTTCAAAGTTGTATCTAACCACAACATCAGACCAGCCTGCTCAGATCCTTTATCCTTTATAGTTCATTTCTATCTCCTAAGATGCAGATTGCGTAATACTGCGTAACACCTTAGACAACCTGTTCCAGTGTCTGACCACCCTCACTCCAAAGAATTCCGTTCTAATATGTAACCAGAATTTCTCTTTTTGTAACTCCTGTACATTGCTTCTTGTCCTATCTCTGTGTATCAACAAGAGAAGTCTGGCTCCATTTTCTCCATCTGTGCTGAAGTGAAGCTTCCCACTTTGTTAGCCTTTTCTTCTTAGAACTGAACAAACCAGTTCTCCCAAGAACTCTTACACATCATATGCTGTAGCTCCCTCATCCTCTTCGTGGCCTTTCACTGGACTCACTTCAGTAAGCCCATGTCTTGCCCTTGGAACCCAAAGCGGTACAGAGTCCTGAAGCACTAAAACAGAGCCCTCATACTGCTGCCTACACTCTTGCTAATGTGGCCTACTACATGGTTAGCTTTCGTCATCACAGGAGCCCACCACTGACTCACATTCAGCTTGTCTCCAGGACCCCTTGTGTCATGCCTGCCATCAGTCTTCACATTTTCAACTAGTTCTCCCTTATTTGTAACCAGTCCATCAAGGTGCATCTCCAACTTGTCTCCTTGCTGAGGCACAGCTCACCCCATGCTAAGAAACTGTCCTCAGCACACTCCAGAATTTCCTTGACTGCATGTGCCCCACCAGAGCAGCTTTCAAGGTGGCTAAAAGTCCCCCGTAAGAACCAGCTTATTCCAGCTGTGTAAAGAAGGTGCTTCTCATCTACTTCCGAAATTGTCAGCCTGTAGCAGACACGTACCATGATGTCATCCTTGTTGTCTCCCCTTTGACCCTGACCCATTCTACAGCCAAGATTCAAACATTTAAGATCAACTCCTCTTCCCTTGACATCCTTTCTAAACTGCCTTTATCAGGCTACTAGTGCTCTTCAGGCCTCTGAGCTATCCCATCACACCTTCACACTCACAATGAGGTCACAGCTCTGTGACCATGTACAGATTTCTGACTCCTGCCCTTTGCTTCCCATGCTGCAGGCATTTGTATAAGCCACTTGAATCAGGTCCCTCAGCCATGACAATCAAGAGAAAGCACTAAGACCCTCCCCCCATAATTCTGTCCTTCAAGCCCTGTCCTTACTGACCCCACTTCTCACTGGGTTGTGGTTACCATCCCTGAAGATCCCACCAGAAAGTCCTCCTCTGGAAGGTTACAGGAGCCTGTTGGCAAAGATGCTGTAAAGCTGGGTTCAGAAGTTCTCACCTTCCTTCCAAAAAGGGGTTGTTTTCAGCGTGGATCCATTCAATGGTCTGGCTTACAGCCTGTTCTACAAACAGGCAGTGTAAATGAGGTAAAAGTAAACTGCAGCAGGAAGCTCCTAAACCTGGTTTGCTGCTAAACCTGGTATATCAAGAAATTACATCGTAATTTCTCAGGTTTTGGCCAAACTCCAGGACAATGGTGCAACCAAAGCAAAAACATTCCAAACAAAAAAAAAAGTCAATGTTTCCTGAAAACAGTCATTATTTATATGCACATATAATACAAATACACACATTCCCATTTCTCAGCAGGCAGCTCAGTTCAGCTGGAGCACTGCTTTACTACAGCTCCATATTTCTAGTATCTGAGCCACCTAGTTGTATAGAAATTAATGGACCTAAAATTTCAACCATATACTAACAACCAAATCAATCAGGTTATGTAACTGACTCTGATTAAAGAGCTGATAGATTGATATCCACCAGGTGACATACAATAATAATTACAAAGAAAGTAACTACTTTAATAGACTAATAAAATAGAGGTAAGGTTGATGAAAGGCAATACAAGTCACCCAAGTGCCAAAATACTTCATTCATCATTTGTAGGTATTAAGTGCACATAGCTTAATAGAAGACACAAAATCACAGTGATACATATATAATTTTTCCTTGCTGAGACACCATTTCTCCTTAAGATCACCTCTCAGCAATTCAATTTTCACAGTACAGCAAAAGACCATATTTTGAAAAAACATGTCCCAGTGAAACATTCTGTTTCATCTTGTTAACCCTCCAACTGTACAAAACCTTAAATAGATAAACAACAATTTTTCAAAGAACAGTCCTTTCCTTCAGAATCTATTTGTCAGAGAGATAACATTTTTGTTCATAATAATAATAATAAAAAAGTTATTTCCCACTGTTCTGATGTTTTATTTTCCAGAACATCTTATTAAGAAGCATGACATGTCAACCAAAACTGCAACTGAATATGAATATATATATCTCTCTCACATCTATGTAAAAGACTCATTGCTTGAACTTTTTATTTTCTAAGGCAGCTCAGGAAACTCCCTTATCTGTGGGAAATCTTGATTTAAATTAAAAAAAACCAAAAAACAAAAAACAAAAAACCACAAAAAAGACGAACCAAAAATTCCCAAACAAAACAAAAAAAACCCCAGCATGCAGAAATGTAGGCTATCCAAAAAGATGCTCTTGCAAACTCCCCTCCCCAGTTTACCAATAATTATCTAATCTTAGATATGCATTAGTAAGAGTTCAGTTGAAATATCATCATTCTAACCTTCAAATTGTTAACAGTGGTGGAAAAACCCAATTAAAACATTAACATATCTTACCTGTCTAATTATACTTTTTACACAACGGATGGGAAGGCCTTGATAATTGGACTTGATTATCCATTTTAGGAGATGATGTCCAAGTACTTCAAAGACCATACAGACATCTGGGATTTAATTAAGGATAACTTCCAAATAAACTTGCTGATGAGATCAACAGAAATGTTCGTTTGCATACTGGCTAAAACAATCATCACCCTGTGAAAAACCATTCCCCCTAAAATGAGCACAAGATGGTATACGCTTTGGTACTACATTTCAATTATATATAAACACATACAAGAACAGTGCCCAAATGCAGAACAAATTAAAATAAAACATTTTAAATATGCAAATCTTGTCAGTTATTTCTACATGTTAACAATAGCATTAGAGTGAACAACAAAATAGGTTATTGTAAAAAATAACTAATTCATTTTCTTTGAAACAGTTAAAAGTACTGATTTGGCCTATTATCTTTAGTTTCTAATAAATTTTAAATTATATGAATAGAAGGTTTAACAAAAGTCTGCAGCAGCAGTGTTCTAGAAAACGAACCATACTAAACTTCTTTTTGATTAGGCTCAATAAAGAATCACTTGACAACAAAGACTAAAGTAGTAAGAGAATGGATCTCTTACCACCTACAGTTTTAACTGCAGAGAATAATGGCAATCACCAGAGAACTCAGGAACAAAGAAAATGTGGAACTCAGAAGCATCACGCAAAAAACACAATATCAAAGTTTAATTTGATCCAGCATCTACTACTGGCCACCAAAGAGGCCAATAATAGATGATCAGGGAACAGTATTAGGAAAAAGCAAGATGTAGGAACTTCCAGTGATTTGTGGTTCAGGGGCTTCCTAAGCTAGAGATTCTACACTTAGTATACCTGGGTAAGTTATCTTTCTATTGAAAAAATATTCAGATATTCACATCAATTGTAACTTTTATCATCGGCAACATTCCATCAAGAAATTACACAATTTGACTACACTGAGTTAATGCTCAGACTTGAGCTGGGAATGACCTTAATGTCCTTGGAAATCAAAAACTATATTAAAATCTTGACTACATGATACTATAACCTTGCCAAGAAAAATGTAATACAAATAACAGAAAATGAATTAATCAATGGATACTGCAGGAAAACCTCAGTGGATGAAATTAGACTGTATTTCAGAGACCATTCACAGCGAACTACACTGTAAGGGGAGAAATCCTACCTAACTTCTCAAGAGTTTTATTAACTAGAGTCTTGGCAATGATCTTAGAGTCACTGTCTTAACATGTCAAAATGAGACTTACGTTGTCTGTTGGTCTATTGTTTACATTCTTCCCAAGTACCTACCTATATGCATAAAGCTAACAAGTTTTGAAATCTGCATCCCCTATGCTGGAGTTAGACCAAAGTTAAAAGGTCTCAAGACTGGTCAAAGTACACTGTGAAGAACTGTAACATTTTGATTGCTGCTACCTGTTCATCTCACATCATGTTCCTCAATTCCTGTATTAGAAGGGACAGTGAACAGTCATTTCCAATTCTACTCAGAATATTATAAAGATCTGTTAGATTCAGAAGAGGAAACAGTCCTGGGTACTCTACCACACAAGCATCCGATGAACTGAAGTCACTAGTAAAGCACACAGCCATCAAAAAGGACAAGCAGAGCACATGAGCTCTGCAGGGCTATTTAACTTGGCCCACGCAGTGAAGTTGCAATGCTACAGCAACACAGATTTCAGGAAGGCACGATACTGCAGCATTCAGAAAAGAAATTTAGGACACCCGCCCACAGTCCTTCAGACCACTGCTGCTGCACACTCTCCAGTGCACATTCCTGCCATTCCTTGCACTTCCTAAGCGAAGCTCTGCCAGTAATCAGAAGAGAAAGGGGTGTAGGGACGTGAATAGCTGAGAGGCGAGGGGAGGGCACTGAGAAGATGCAATGAGGAATGGCAGAGGCAGAAAAGGAGAGGGAGGGTCACAAGAAAGACAAGTGATATCTACCTGAAAAAACAGATTGCAACGTTTTGCTGGGATGGCTTGGACAAGCTCAAGGCATGCTCAGTACTGGGGAGGCAACTGGGATGGGGAGAAGACATACAGGAGGCTTGGTGTTTGGATTAGGTATGCAAAAATGTGACTGTTGCCTGATGTACTATCCTGACCTGAAAAACATTAACTGTAAGCCAGACTGCCCACAACAAAGAGTTTGGAAAAAGCTGTGCATTAACTATCAGGAAACAAGCCTTGCAAGCCCCAGGATCTTCCTACAGCACCAATATCCTGACAGATAGTCAAAAAGTCCTCTGGCAAAAATGAACCTGAAGCCCACTCAGCAGACATGCCTCTTACGAAAGGCTCTTCGAAGCAGTTTGGGGAATGTCTGAAACAGGGAAATGTCTGAGCAGAGCAGCAAAAGTGAGAGTAAACATATTATTAATCACCTGGCAGGCTTAAGTACTTAAAACTGTTCTTTCTTGACTACAATCCTACCTGTAACTACCTATCTATCTACAAACACACATTACAGGAGGCTTTAGCAATCTGATGAGGGTTAACGACTAGTTAAGCTAAATGAAATAAGGCTCTGGTACCAACACAGGACACTTCTGGGCGTATCTCAGCTACTTCTGGATTGGCAGTACTTGGGCTCTGTGGTATTTAATTAATGCTGTATTATTTTTTGGAGATAAATTTATTACAATTATTATAATGGCTGATTGTGTCGGGAATGCTTCCTTCTTTATTTTTTCACTTGTCTCTCCAAAGACTTGTTTCATTGTGTGATTATGTGAATCTCTTATTTAAAAAATGCTACACTGAAATAAACGTTTATTAAGGCTCTAATAAATATCAACTGCAGACAAACATAACACACTACACTTACTGAAAACACCAAAGTGCCCAAGTTTGGGAATTTTGTTATTTCCGGAAAGAATCATAACTGCAATCTTTTTAAAATGTACAAGTAGTTAAAAAATTATCAGTCTAGTGTAGCATAATACACATTGTTAAAATGCCTCTGTATATAAACATTTATTACAGCTCCTAGGAGAAAAACGACTGTTTTCACACACACAGTGCAGGCCAATGGCTCTGCACATTCCCAGCTCTGTGCTACACAGTTCTCAACAAGTTTCCCTGTTTGGAAGCTCCATGACATTTTGTGGTATTATCCATCCAAAGGATTCACCCACCTCTCTTCTGTCTTGCTTGAACTTTTAAATGTATTCCATAACCAATAATCAAGCCTCTATGAAGCATATGTTGTTTTAATTTACAGTCAAGGAACAGATATTTAGTGACTTGCCCAAAGGAAGCTGGAAGAGCAGAGCATGGAAAAAATCCCAAATTACTGTATTCCTCTCAACCTGTTCAACTCAGTAACACTAATGTATCACTAATATCCATTTTAAAAACAGAAACAAGTAGCAGCAGAACATTAAAATCAGTTACCTGCTGCCTCCCAAAAGAACCTGCACCAAAGATTATTCTCCCTAGAAGATAAAAAGGAGTTGATCAAATAAGCAATGCAACCAACCGCTGCTCAAATAAGCAATGCAACTCAGGATGCACAAGCTGTTCACAAAAAAACTTACAGCGTAAGATACTTGATATGATATTTTCGCTGATGGTTAGGACTTTGACAGAATTCCATCTGTAATTTAAATCTGAGTCCAGTATCAGCCCATCCTGTCTACTGTACCTTTCTGGAAAATGTACTTCTCAGTAAGGCAAGAACATTTGCCTTCCACATAAAACAACTTCTGTACTGCCAGAGTTTTCAACATGAAGGTAAAACTGAAACAGAACAAATTGATACCAGCTGTCCAGTTTTAATCGGCTAACCCAAAGCTATCTGAACCCTTCTTTTTCACTAGTATATGGTCTCTTTTAGCTTTGTCAACTTAAGTGCTATGTTTCAAAAATATAAAGTTTGGATATGCTTTCAAAATATTATCACTAATAAAATTTACTCTTCTCACTTCCAAATGGCTCTCATTTTTAATACAGATTATACATACTTGTGAATCTTAGCAATAATTTAAGAACGTTATTGGGAAACCGCTCTGTTAAACACATATTTCTATGTATAGTTATGAATGCATTTTCTTATTCCCTATTTCATATTAGTGTTTTACAATGAAAACAGTAAGTCAAAATGCCTGATTTCTAAAAAGAACTTTAATTATTCTTCAATTGTGTACCTGTCAGCTAAAGACCTGAAGTGCTTTGGTTGCGTTATTTTTTTGTGAACATAGTTAGACAACAGAGGCGTTTATAAAATACTTCTTAATAAGCATCTCAGCCAATAAATTAAAACCTACTTTTTGTGGCACAACAGCAGCACCAAGAAACCCTAACCAGGGTTCTTTGCTCCACTGTGTTAAGCAATTTCCTTGACCACAAACCATTTATATTCAGGTTGAAATGACTACTGGTGACTGTATGGTTTATTTTAATTCACTTAAATTTGATGATAAAACATAGGGAAAAAAGCAGGCTACACTAACTTCACCTATATTTAAGCAGATTTCTACCATTGTAGCTGACCACTGAAGCAGCCAGGAAACAAATCAAAGCGGGACAAAGGGAAAGCAGTTAAGATGCCATTCTGTAACTGAGAATACTTGTCCCCACACTCATTCTCACTTATCATAAACCCAAAGGCTTCATAACTAATGTCAAGAGACAGATGGATGGGATGAAACCCGCTTGCACACTTCTCCCTGGAAGGATCCTTTCTAGTGGGCATTCAGATTTACTGACAGTCACCTCCTAGATTCCTCTCCTAATGGATGAGAGTTGGTGAAGAGCATCTTAACCTGATCTGCCAAAGACTGAAGGTACATCATCAAAATGAACTCAGTGTTAAACTCTCTAGATTAAGCTCTCTAGAGCAGGAGCTGTCTCTTTGATAGTACACCATGAACAACGAGGTCTGTTACTAGGGCTCCATGACACAACAAGCATACACATAAATACCAGCTGTAACACTAAACGAAAGCACAGTAATATAAGCTGCTAAAATATTGAAAATAATTAGCAAGGATAACTCACTTTAGCTCAACTCTAAAATCAAGTATATTCATAAACCCCAAATTTTCCCTGAGAACCATATTCAGTCATATTTTATTTTGTCTCTCTAGACTATTTTTTCTGGGGTTTTTTTTGTCTGTTTGTTTGTTTGTTTTTCTTTTAGAGGAAGCATTTGAAGGTAAAGCTTTAAGATCTTTGCCAAAAAAGAGGTTAACACCTGGCCAAAAGAGGATCACATAAACAAAAGAAGAATCTCCATGCCCTCACAATTCCCACAAGAAAACAGAAACCAGCTTCTTCATGGCACTGACACATCCTTTCTTTTTACTAGCCTACAGCAAAACATAATTCCTGTAAGCCTCAGTTACTACAACTCTTTTCAGTAAAACTCCAGTTTTTAAATAAACTATCTATCTCTAGTTCTAGCAGTGGGAATTTTTTTATTTTGCATTGTGTTTAGAAAAACTGTGCTATTTTCACTCCGGTGAGTACATTACACACTGGATTACTCTTTGCATCTACATGTATTTTGGTGTTTCCAGTTTACAAATTTAAAGTACGACTAACTTAGAAAAAAGCCAGAACTAAATGTTTACTTACGTCAGTACATAATTTTTTCATGAAGATGACATGATTTCAAAAGGATACGGATTCCATTCATTCCAGAAATTTTGAAATCATCAATGAGCTGTACAACCATATCCTTGTTGGGATCATTAGGGTCACTTTCACGGACCTAAACCAAGAATGTAAACAGTGACATTTTAGGAAAAAATTAACTTTGAAATACTAATTAGTTAGCTTTCCACATGAAGTTAAACAATATTTTCGTGCTTCAGAAATCATGGTAACACACAAGCTAGCTATTTAGAGAAAAAAAAAAAGGTAAAAAACCATTCCTCTACATTTTTTTAACTCATTATTACTATCATTATTGTATTGAGCACTGTATTGTGTAAGTGATACTTACACATTTCAGCAACTTTATTTCATCCAAGGCTGTCTCTGTATAATGCTGGGCACTTTTTACAACTTTCATTGCAACAAACCTTTTCCCCCTTGAAAAGAACAAAAACATTTTCAACACATGCTCTGAGCTAATATACAGCTTTGAAGGTTGGTAAACTTTAAATAGAATATTTCATAACCTAATGTATTCTGAAAGAAAACACTGAAATTACACTTAAAAACAACTTTTAACAATACTCTGAATATTCTGTCTCCTTGATGCTAATGTATTTAAAAGAGGTATTTGGTTATAGGTTTTATCATTCAATTGAGGTATAATTACAGTTTTTCATTAAAGATACAACAGAAATAAAAACATTAGCTTACTCTCGCATGTTCAAGACAACATGCAAAATCAATAAGCAAAGATAATTTGTCAAAGAAAAATAGAATTACCCTTACTTCTGAGATCTTTTATAAACTACATCCTTAACCAAGTGCAAAATAAGACTTCAGACATCTTTCTGCATAAAGAGATATCGAACATTTACATAACTTTATCATGCATGTAAAACAAAAGTTATTGCAAACACAATAAAGTAACATATTAAGAAAAAAGTAAATGGAAATAAATAGTTTTCTTACTGCATATCCCAGCATAGCCAGACTGTAGAGAAGTGTCCCCATCCTAACTTTCTAATAACATGATACCGGCCATTGAAAAGATCACCAATTTTCACTGGATGATAGCCTCCTTTCATGAAAAAATGAGTAGAAAAAGAATATTCAGAAAACAAACAGTAACTCTCAGGTTTTCAAGTCATTCTTGTAGTATAAATTTTCCTCTTCAAATTGTCCTGTACTATGAATAGGAAATCTAAAGAAAATTTTACTCTGATGTTAAAAATTCTGCCTTACTTGGCCTGGAGGGAAAAAAATCATGTCCTGTAACTACTGTAGAGTTTATTCACCCTTCTCTCTTACGGCTTTTATTTGTGGTAAATTACCATCTGTTGTCTATTTCCTGAGGCTTATCTTCCACTTCACAGAGACTACAGGAAAGATCTATATTATTTCTTCACCATTTTTGAAGCTTCTCCAGCCAACATAATTTGGATGATCGCAGAATCTCAACAGAGATTGTTTAAATTCACATTTGCTTTCTACTAATAAAAGCAGCAATAAAATACTTCCTGAGAAAATAAGAACAATGCAGACTTCACTGACACTCTTCTGCTTGGCTCTGACCCACAGCAGCAATGCGTTTTTCTCATGTCTGAGGTTTTTACAGTGAGGAAGAAGAGAGAGCAGGCAGCTATGGGCTTTGTCTGAACTGCTTCTTAATCACTGAAGTCTGCAGTCCTGACTTACACCACTACGCAGGTCCTCAAAAGCCCCATTAGGCAGAAGGGCCAACAGGACAGGGCAGGCTGGAGCTCAGGTTTCTAGGCAGTGTGAGGAGGTGTAACGAAGCTTTTTATTTCCTTTGTATTTTAAGAGGCATTCTTCCTCCCAGTCAAACCAGGGAAGACAGTGATTACACAATATTATTATTCAGACCTTAACACACTAATAACAACATCCACAATTTTGCCTAAATCGCAGACAAATAATAAAGCTGCACCACGCAGCCCTCCTGGACACCACCAGCAGCAGACTCAGAGCAGCCGTTAAGGAATCACCTCTTCATCTCTCTCTGGTCCTTCACAATGTCATGCACAACTGTCCTTTGTCTGGATTCTCAGTTATTGACTATTCCACTTAAAATGAGGAAAACCTCAGACTACTTTCTCTGAGTTGTTCTATTTGTTTTGAAATCCCCTGAAAATTTTGTTAGAACTAGTACCCAGTTAAGACAACAATGTGAACTTATCACTTGATTCCTTGGATTTAAAACAGGGAATTCTCTCCTATCTCCTTTTTATCCGTGGAACAGTGACATCAAATCTGGATATATTTATATCCTTTCATTGCCAATAACATCTTTTCCCTTAACAGAAGTTCAAGAGTTTATTTGTGAACATTTCCCAAACGCTTCCAGAGCAGATTAATAAATTTAACACAATAGTACAATAGAATCATGAAGATTACATATTCAACAGAACGATAAAGCTTAAATGATGTACTGCTTTAGATGTTGGTATGTCTAAACTGAAACTCTAAACCACACACACAGCTTTGACATTTGTGTGTTAAGGCGTAACTTCAAGCTTAGCAGACAGCAGACACTCGCTGGTTTGCTCACAGCCTCAACCAAAAGCTGGTTCATCCGACACGGCTGCAGCAGCCCGGGCTCCTGCACGGAATACCGCTGGCAGAGACTCCAACGTCTGGCACTGACGTGACGCTGCTCCCTGCCCACCAACCTCCCAGTCTGTGCCACCGCAGAGGGTCAACCACGTTCACCGGGCGCAGAAATGAGCCTGCTGTGCGCAGGAAGCATGGACACGCACACGGAGCGCGGTCGCAGCTCCCCCAGCCTTAGCAGTAAGGTGTTGAAGTTTTGTCTTTTGAATGAAAAGTTTGCACAGATCTGTGAAGACCCAGATATGAGAAAGATTTTTACCCTTTTAACCCATGAGAACTGTATGCTTACTATCACGCACAGTATTTCGTTTTGCAAATCGTACAGGTATACCGACACCAATATTTTCAGTTAAAAAAAGCAAAGGAAAAAGAAGGCCCTAGTTCAGGAGCAGTACAGGGCGTTACAGACGACCGAGACGCACGGACCCAGCCTAGGACCGAGTCCCAGGACTCCCCCTTGGGAAAAGCCCTCCCTCCCCTCCATCACTAGGAGGGAAACATTCATGAAAAGGTGCCAGGACAACTCACCGAGCAACCTAAAAAGATACCTTCATTTCCAGTGCTGACCTGTGTCAACCTCAGGAAGAACGCGCAACATTGCCGAGTGGGAACTCCTGACTCTTCAGAGAAAAAACAGATCACGTTTGGAACACCCGACTGGATTTACAGTCCAGGAAAGGGGGACAGACAGACACGGACTTACTGAGAGTAAGCGTTGACTTTTAATGCTATCCGCTTCCTTTGCAAAAGCAAACAGTATCAGCCACACATGAAGCCCAAGTCTATTGCAGCTTCGTTACTATAGAAATTTTGCTGAATAAACTCACATATACAAATCCATAGTGACAGAAACAGTAAAAAAACCTAAATTTTAGTCTATTTAACCATCCTTGCAGTAACAGCTGATTAAAATATGTAAAAATCTGAATAAATATAATCGTATTTTAAGACAGCTACTGATTGGTTTAAAACAACAAAAAAATACTACTCTTTGGCAAATCCTTTCCATAAAACTCTATGGAGGATGATGAAGTGATAGATGTGAGTGGAAGGTTGAGAGGACATGCAGCAATTCTAGCTTTCCATTACTGAAAAAGTTTGCTGACAGCAAGAATTACATAAAACACTTCCACATAACTCACTATCACAGTATCATTTCTTCTGAGTGTTGTCCTGCATGTATCATTGCATGAAAACAGTGAGAAGTACAAAACGTTATTCTCTGTATAATCATTCTTCTTTTTGCAAACAGATATAAATATAAAAACCGAAAAATATTTAACACCTAGTTTTAACACCCCTCTATGGTTTGCAAAACAGATTTTAAAATTCAACAATACCAAAATTTCTGGAACATTTTACAATTTTCTTAAAAATCTAGTCCTATTAAATCATTCCCTATATGGCTTCAGATGTATATGAAAACACTCACAATTCATGCAGCCTTTTGCACCGACAGAAGGGTGTATGTGGGCCTTCAAGTACATAGAACACTGTCCACAAGTAATTGTTTTGCACTAAACAAAATAGTTGCTGTTTTGACACATTAACAGCATTACACTCAACAATGAAGAATTTAAATACAGGTAAACATATGTTTCTAAGAATAGTTTAAGTAAAAAAGTGCCTTATAAGCCCGCCTCTCTGCAGATAGCTTTTGTCATACGTGTGCTTCAAAGGGTCAAAAATAATCAAAAACTTGGGACAGTTTCTTCCCATTATAGACAGGGGAGAGAACACCCTTCAGAGGAAATCAGTCACAGACACCAAAGTCACGCTAACAAACTGAGGTTTGGTAAGTTATTTTAGTAAAATCTACGTACTGCAAGAATAACAATACTGTATATGTAAAAGCCATGTTATTTTGGTCACTACAGCACTATCATAACTAATTATAGCAATACACCAGCATCTGTTACAGATACCAACAGCGGTAGCATATTCTCTGAGTACATATACTTCACAAGATACTTTCTACCGGCCTACACCGCAACAGGGGCAGTTCTGGAAATAATCGATTGCCGTTCCTGTATGTGTAACTCCCTGATTATCCATGTCGGCAACATATTCCTTCACAGGCTGCGGAGCCAGGTAACAACACACTTAGTTAGAGATATTTTAAAAACTGGTGTCATCCTAGGATGAATGTAATTATTTAAGTGCTTCATGATACAGAAAGTATTTCTAAATAGTAGTAACAAGAAAGCATCTATGCAAAATTAGCCGGTTGAGAAAAATGATATACTTTTGGAAAAACAAAATTGGTATTTGAAAATATACAATGTATAAGTGGCACTGCTGATAACATAACAAAAATAACCTGTTGTGCTATTCACTGCAGCACACACAGAAAAAGTCTCTCTCACAGCTAGCTAGCTAGCTCCATGCTCTCAAGAAAGAGGGTCAGAAAAATGAGATCATTATTCCTAAATGTCTCCTGAATGTATTGGTAATTGTAGCTGGCTAGTTCTATGTTTGTATAGGGAATTATTCCCTTTGTGAACTGGATGAATGGGAGACATCTCCAGGGGGCAAAGAAGATGATCAGAGAAGCAAAGAATTCCAATTACAACCATGACACAAAATGCTCTTGAAAAAATTCTCCAAGTGTTTCAAAGCTTTTCAAAAAAGAAGAAAAAATAGCTTCATTGTCTAAGTACCCCCTGAAAAATCACATAGTTGGCTTTTGATATTTCTATTCCTTAAATAAGGACTTAAAGAGCATTTAAGGTAAATTCAGTGACACCAAAAGAAGTCATTTCACAGATTTAAACAGGCCCTGGAGAAAGCCCCTGGGGAACAAGAGGTTAGTCTGCTTTACACTGATGGCTGTTGGTTGTCTCTTTCACGTCAGGTGCTAATTCAAACTAATCCAATTTCCTGATTAAAAATACTATTATGACTATTTACTAACCACCATGTCATGTGGTGAAGACGTGAGCCCAGCACACAGTAACACATCCCTAAAAATAATAAATAAAAATCAAATTAGTAACAAAAATATCCTGGCAATGGGAAGTACGGTTAACAAGTAAAATGTTGAATTAAATAAAAATATTAATTATATACTCTCTCATCAAAATTGCCCTCCTATGAAATTTTGGATATAAAATTAGGAAGAAAAGAGACACTCCAGTAATAAATGATAACTTCCCAATATTTATCTTCCACCCTGTAAACACAGGTAAGGTTACCCAAAACAGAAAAATACATTCAAACTAACAGAATACCGCTAAAAAAATGGAAATAATGTATCTAAAAGCCATCCCTGGAATTCTTTACCAAATAACTTACTAATTCCCTATATTCAATATAAAATAAACAAACAGAAAGTCTGCCTGACCCCAGATCATTCCAGTCTCGCCACTCAAATTCAGATTCTTATACAACATGGTGACCTTCTCTTCAGTTCAATCCCAGGAGACTAACAGAAGGAAATGAACTGATCAGTCTTATGGGAAATTATGATCAGAAAATAGGTAAACCACCTACCGGAGCAACAAAAGCACTGCCCTCTCAGAAACAAAAAATGATTATGACATCCAAACGAACCAAAGCTTGAAGCATCTTTAATATACTTCCATCAATTCAGAGCTTCAAGACCATATTCAGAAGAACCTCTGGGCGTACAGAAGCTCCCTCGCAAGGAAACTTGCAAGTATTCTAGTGTAACACGTAGTTCATTTAAAAAGCATACAGACCTCACTACAGACCTGCTATAGCCACAGAGACTCTAGTAACTTATAAGCAGGCTGTAAACTTAAGACTTTTTTTTTTTTTTGGGGGGGGGGGGGGGTGTGGGGGTGATCTAGCTTCTCCAGATGGTGACATTTTGCAGGAGATACTGGAACACAGACAACAATGGATTGTTTGAAATTAAATGCAGCCCTTACTTCAGGGAAGAATTAAGTGGGGACCCTGAAATGCTTAATCTCAAGGAAATACAGATGTTTACAAGTAAACAGATGTTTAAATAACAAATTCTTACTCACTGTTGGAAGATGTTACAGATACCAAAAGAGTTATCTTAAGGAACAAGTGTGTCGTAACAGAAATAATTTAAAAAAAAATACAAATATGCTTTAGCAACATGTTTTTCTTTTCCCTGCTGCAGACTTCAACATTTAGATTTACTGTTTGGTTTTCGCTATTGGTATCTGTAAGCCACTTTAACATTTGAAATATCACATATTAATAAAACTTCTTACATGAAAATTAAATAGTCACTTTCAATTGTTACATCTGAAAATATAAAACAACTTGTTCCAGGCTGGGAGAGCGGACTCTTAAAATAGCACATCTCCAGGCTTACATAGAAACCTCTGATTAAGAGGACATCGTCAGATTTGACACAGAAAGCGTTCCTTGGTATGAGGAATACAGAGTAACAGATATAGTCAATGTGCATACAGTCCTGTTTGGCTGTTCAAAAACATTAATCTGAAGTGATAAAACTTTGATGTTTCCTAAAGTAAATTCATATTCTTGAAATCTACTATGAGAGATAACCCAAAATTGATAGACCTGTTATTTATGGGTTTTCATGTAAGTATAATATACATTTTACCCTAATGGGAACAGACTTGCAACTTCAGCAGTGACATTAAAACAAACTTAAGTACTGACACTGTTGTACTGCAGTCACATCTTTTTATGCATTTAATGATTTTAAAAAAATTAATACAAGCAACTACAACAATTAAGGAAATCAAGAGCTAAAACAAACATGTAGAGAACCTCAGACAATGCTGATGGCTGTGAAAGACAACACGTGAAAACAAAGCATTAACTTCTCGGGCTGGTACAGGTGAGAGAAGGGGAAAAAAGATACAGATTAAAAAACAAATGCAGTTGATGTTGTTAAAGGCATCGAGGCATTTTAGAACCTTTCGCAGTGTGCAAGAGGTTGCTCGTTTTGGTTTGGGCGGTTTTTATTCTCTTACAACTAACATCAATCACGAGAAGTGATTGAAAAAACAGGGATTCAATATTTGTATATATATTGCAAAACATATAAATAAGCTATGGCTACATGAAAAAGTAAAGCTAACGACAGTTGTGCACCTGGATCTGAAATGAGCAGTTGTTCATAATTCTTGTATAAATAAATTCTGTAATTAAGGATCAGGTCCTTAAAAATCTCCCAAGAACCAGAGTTAAGACTTGCATGACAATGTTTACTCTCCTCAACATTGCTGAACTGCACACACCTTTACAGTAATCTGCGGGATCCTCTTGCTCCTCATCGTCGGATCCTAAAATCTCCTCCTCTGGCTCTGGCGGGGTGGGCTCCGGCAGGGGCGGAGGTGGGGGCGGGGGTGGAGGTGGAGGTGCAGAGGGTGCTTTCTGTTGAGGCTCTGGCCTGAAAATGAAAGAGAGCGCACACTTAGTATAGAGCTTCCTCACAGCAGAAACCCAACCCTTCAGAGGGAGGAAAAAACGCCTTGGGAGATAGCGGTGAAGCATTGTCCCACTTGTGCTCTCCCTGTCATCTTTCATATCACCTGTGGGACCCTACGGAGGCAAGGACACAGATGCACCTGACCAGACCAAGGTCTCAAGTCAATTTAGACTTACTCGCTGGAACAGCTTGTAAAAGATAAATATGTGGGCAAGCTTTTAGAATTCCTGATGAGCAAATGAGACGTTAGACCTATCTTCTTCAGCACGATTGAGAGAAAATATTTTTCAGAGAATACCAAGTTATTCAAAAGCTCCTGCCTGCTAGCTGAAGGAAGACGACGTCATTAATACACAGCAAGAAACAATCTTCTAGAGACACTGACCCAAACCAGATGACTTAACGTAATTCTCATCTCTAGCTACTGTCAAGACACTGGAAAGCTGTATCAGTACACAAAATACTGAAAACAGCTATGAGAAGAGCAAAATTAGTCTTCCCAGGTAGCCTGTGATGTATTCCTAGAACACACACAGCATGCTTTAACATGCATTAATTAAAAACAAAAAAAAACGCTCAAAATAGAACCACCAAAACCCAATACCACCAACTAAGAAGTGTTTTTCTGACTGTCTTGCGTCTCCAGTTTAGAAAAAACAAAAAAATTAAGTATGTTTTATATCCTACTCCAAGAAAGGCTGTGCTTGGTATTTCTAAAGACCTACAAATTATTCACATTTCAAAATTCTGAGTATTTTCAATACACATAAAAAAATTAAATGCAGGGTTGAAGCATACCTGTCTGTCAAATAATTAAGAAAGCCTTCTCCAAACAGGCTGTTACTTTTTGTATTCATACTTGATACAAAAAAAAAACCAAAAACACCAAACTTACCAAATCATATACTTGCAAAATACATTCGCAAGGTAACTTAAAGCACTTGTGCCACTAAAAGTTGCTCTAATTTGCATTATATGGAGCCTTCAGCACAAGAAAGACAAGGATCTGTTGGAGCAGGTCCAGAGGAGGCCACCAAAATGCTCAGAAGGATGGAACCCCTCTCCTATGAGGACACTCTGAGAGAGTTGGGGTTGTTCAGCCTGGAGAAGAGCAGGCTCCAGGGACACCTTATTGCAGCCTTCCAGTACTTAAAGGGGGCTTATAAGAAGGATGGGGACAGACTTTTTAGCAGGGCCTGTTCCAATAGAACAAGGGGTAATGGTTTTAAACTAAAAGAGGGCAGATTCAGACTAGATCTAAGGAAGACATTTTTCACAATGAGGGTGGTGAAACCCTGGCACAGGTGGCCCAGAGAGGTGGTAGATGTCCCATTGCTGGCAACATTGAAGGTCAAGTTGGACGGGGCTCTGAGCAACCTGATCTAGTTGAAGATATCCCTGTTCATTGCAGAGGGGTTGGACTAGATGACCTCTAACGGTCCCTTCCAACCCAAACTGTTCTGTGACTCATTATCTACTTCAAATATAAGCCATCTGAAAAAACACCGTATTAACAGTATTTTATCATTCATACAATAAAAAAATAGAAATCTGTAATTTGTTAGTTTTTCAGCTCCTAAAATTTAGATTTAAATACTTCCTTGATCATGAGTAAAAACGGTATTTGTGTCTATCTCATTCCTATAGTCCTCCTCCTTATAATTCCCCCGCCACTTTTTCCTTTTACACACTACAATTGTTCAAGACAGACCATTTGGAGTCGATGAGTACACAGTTGGTCAGAAATAAATTCCACTGGCAACATGCACCGCCTGCACAGCAGCTGCTATTATGCCTTTGCTTTAAAGGACATCACTGGAAGTTGCATGCATACCAAATTTATCTGCCTGCTACCCCTTTCAGATAATAACATTCTTCTATTTGTTCAGTAAATGGTCAGATTTAAAAAGGAGTATTTGAAAATAATTCATTAATGGTTTAAGTTATGATGAGAATTCTACCCAAATAAGTAAGTTTATGTAATTTTTAACCACGTAAAGCTTAGGACAGAACAGAAGGGACAGACGGGATCCATTTGTAGGATAAACGATAAATATGTTTGCACGTGCTCCTACTTACATAAATCATGCTTTTTTTTGCCTTTATCTTTCCTCTTTCCTTCCCAACACATGTCTCTATATTGTACATTGAAAAGAAGGTAAACCGATAGAGTAAATGAAAGGTACAGCACATTCTCTGACCAGTTAATCTTACCACATGTTAGATTAATGGCCCTCCAATAGCCGGGTTTCATGGTGTCAGCAAGCTGGTGGCTCCCACACCCAGTCTGATGCCGGCAGAAAGCATTAATCAAACAAATCATAGTATAAGGATCTACATGACAAACCTTGAAACCTCATCTGCTGGGCACAAGACCATTCTGGATACACAGATCAAGATCTATGAACACTTAAAAATCAGTAATGTTAACGACGAGCAAGAAAAATAAAGCATAGTAAAACAGCCTGCACTTCAATATATTTTAAACCAGTGTGCCAGGTAACACAGGCATATTCATAAGGGCTTGGATTCCTTATTTTGCACAGTACCATCATTTTACTTCCTTCTGACCACAAGTTTCCATTTAATTACTGTGGTCACATAGATGGTACAAATACAGCAAAACCTAGGATAGGTTAGGGCAATGCCGTACACGGGTCTTGAGTTCAACAATCCATTGAAGTTGTGCCAATTTTGTCTTTTAAGACAACAACTACTTGCTCCATTTCTTCACATGATAAAGATAATACTTTAAAGAGAATTAGAAGCATTTCTGGAATTAAGGTTCACACATTTTGTCACTTGTTTTGAAATAAACATCAAGGAATACCAAGAGAGGGAGGAAGTGTACAACCCAAGATTTCAAAAAAGCCGTATTTGAATTTATTCCTAGGGAAACAGATTAAGAAAATAGAGCTGCTTCTGAGTATCTCTCAAGCTACTATATTTGATTTTGTTTTGAAAAGGGTTATTTTTTTCCTGTCTCCAATCCGAGTTGTATTTGGTATTCAGGAGTGTTTTCTTATTGTCCTTTGTGGACATGAGGAAGGAAGGAAAGATATTACTTTACTTCCTTCTGGAGTTATTTATGATTTTATCTGCAAATAGCAAAACACTGATTTAGACTGAGGAAGATCTTTGATTTGTCCTTTTATTTAGCTTTGCTTGCACCTTTTGAAGCAATCATGTATCAATACATGAAGAAGGGTGAAGGAAAGAAATGCTGTTGAGTTACCTCACTTTGACTTCTCATTGTGCACTGTTGGCTTATTTTGCTATTTTTTTGCTTCAGTTGAAGATTCTTAGCAAGGGATTCTTAGCATTGTTCTTTGGTTTTGTTCACTTTTACATTCTGGGCTATACGTAAAGATCAAGTCTTCAACACTTGAATTGGCTGCTTAAATTCTGCCTACAAGTTGAATAACTCATCCTGGCATCACCAATGCTTGCTCTTCTGCCAATACACAATTCACAGTGTTAGGTAGGACATCAGCCAATGAGAGAACTCCAGTTTTGCTATTTCTTAGTAGCCCTTTTATTGAATTGGAAATATAAGCTCTGATGAATGTTTCAAGAATATCTTCCTTTGCGATGTATAGCATGAATATATATTCTGCTTAATGTTCTTTTCCAGTATAGTTTGTTAAAATATGAATTTTTTTTTCTTCAAAGTGGACTTTAAAACATACTTAGCATTAAAAATCCGGCCATTAAGAAAGCTGTGAGTAATAAACATGTATGCTAACCCCCATTTCCTTTTCAGAACCATATTTTTCAAAAACTATCATAACATAACAAGCTATTCAACAGTTGCATTATTTCAAGCTATTACTCCTTCTTATTTCCTAAAATATTGTATGTAATGATATGCATTAGGTAACAGGCATGCAGAGGCATATACTAAATCTGGTGGTTTTTCTCCTGAAGTAATCACTTGGTACTCTGTGGTCTACCACTGCTAGGTTATTCATCACCATCCAAGCGTAAACACTTAATTAATAGAAGAAGAGGACACACCTTTTCTAGACTCACAATATTCTGTCAGTAGGTATGCAGAGAACTGACCATCTCCACAGGCTACAATGACAAACCTTGTAATTGTATTGAAAGGAGCATTACAATTAAAAAATGCTAGCCAGGATATTTTATCTTTTAATTACTCTCTTTAAATGGATAAAAATAAATTTACAGCGAAGTCCAATCAAAATACAATGAAATCCTATTTTCATCCTGCTCTTAGAGGGAACTCTTAGTAAAAGACAAAAGAATGCTGAAGCATTTCTCCTCTACAGTGAACTTGAAGCAAAATATGCCGAAACACTGCATGGAGTCTTAGAGAAAATCAATTGCCCACTTTAAGAAATGTAAAATTACTGACAACTTAGTTTTACTATACTCTGTCACAGACACACTGCTCCATGTTCCAACTGAGGAACAGCCACCAGCAAAAGCAATCTCCATAACACTGAAACCTGAAAATGCTGGGAAAATTATACCATGAGAAATTCAGGAAGAACTGTTCAGGTTCTTTTTTGTTGATGTTGTGGGGTTGTTTGCTATTCTTCTGTTCTGGAAAAGGTAAAATAAGAGCAGTGAGGGTGATTAAAAACACAAAATGCCTTCCATATGGGAAGCATCTGAACATACCAGAACTCTTCAGCGGAAATCTATAAAATCTTGAGAGGCACAGAGAAAGCAAATAGGAAATGACTGTTCGTTGCCTCTCCCCACACAAATTGAGCCAAGTTGACAAAAAATCTAAAGAAAAAAAACAAACTGTTTCATGCAACAAGATGTTAAAAACTAAAGCCACCTTTTTTCCTCAGATACTGTGGATAAGAGAAGTTCACGAAGTTCAAATAGGGCTCAGAAAAACTCATGGAAGAAGATTCAACTGATAGCTAAAACTAAACCGCCTTTGACACATGAAGCCCATCAGCCTGAGACTGCTGGATTTGAGA